TTTTGCATCCGTTTGTAGTAATTATAGCTTTGTATTAATTATTTTTTCACTGTGTGTGGGGGGGAACATGTGGGTTACATGTGGAAAATTACGGTTTAAGGGAGCATCAAACAAAGAGCAACAAGTAGTGGGGGGGTTGGCACAGCAGACGCAAGATGAAAGCCAAGTAGAGAATGAGAGGAATCACTGAAAAGTGATTCAGGTTGAGACTTAAGGGGTTCCAACCTCATAAAGGGAAACTGCCAGTCATGCACTCAGAAACTAGCAGGTAAATAATGTCTCTGCATGCGTGTATGCATTCAAGCTTATGTGATGAAACTGTCAACAACACAGAGCCTTTCTTTTCTACCTCCCTCAAACCTATTAGCTGGACTTGCTACAAGGGGAAGTAGATACAACTGAAAGATTACGTTTTGTCTCATTCACTGTGAACTGGTTCAACCAGTCCATTTTCAACTGTGAGGCTATTTGCTTTCAAGCGGGAGTGGTTTGCTCATTTTCCTCTTATTGGCCTCCACTTTCCACATTCACAAGCTGCATATGTTTTTCTGCTGTTAGACCTGCTGATGTTCTACTGCAGGTGCTGTGCTTCCCCATCCTGTCCAGTGTGCTTCATTCTCCACAGAGACCTGCACCCCTGATTTACACAACATCACGTGACTACACTGCATTGTTGTTTACAAAGGCCATCTGAAAAAAACAGTTATTTCTGCATCTTGTGCAGTGGGTTTCTCCCAAGTGAAACATCTTTGCTGAATAAATCAAAGTCCACTCTGTTTAATTACAACAATCTTAAAAGCCTGTGGAACACAGACTGTTAATAGAGAGAGGTTGGTCAGCTCATGTTGATTAGGGGTAAAACATCTTTGAGCAGTTGAGATGGGATCCAAGAGACATGTTGATGACTTAGATGAAGCAATTGTTGAGGTCAACTCAGAGAGATCTATGGGAAAGAAGCAGCCTAAATAGCCAGTGATTAATAGTATGTGGTTCTGGCACTATGAAGGGCTTTTTATATATTATTAAACTATCTTTCCAGGCTAGGAAAAACTCTTCTGACTTTGTGGAACACCACCTCCTTTCCAGTTTTCGTGATGCCTGCTTTAGAAAGTGGAGCTGTGAGCTGTACTACAGGGCTAGTCTCCTCTGTTTAAGTGTGTTTTTTCAGAGGGGCAACAGTATCAAGTGTCATACGCAGGGAGGCTGCAGCACTCAAGATTATCAACTTCTGTGGGAGTAAAGTTAAGGTGGCACCCCTCCACTGTGTTGGTACATGGCACTGAAGTAATTGATGATGAAATTATTTCCTTAAACATGGTAACAGCATTGTCAGATAGACATATACTGTAGTGGAATTGTTTCCCACATAGAGTATAATCCATTAATGGAAATTCAAAAGTTATTAGAAAATGGTCAGACAGAAGAGGGTTATGGGGAAAAACTATTACGTGTTCAGTTTCGATGCCATATGTCAGAACAAGATCAAGAGTGTGATTTAAACAGTGAGTGGGTTTATTTACAGTTTGAGAGAAACCAACTGAGTCTAATAATGAACAGAATGCATTGTTGAGGCTGTCATTGTCGCCATCTACATGAATATTAAAGTCGCCTACTATGATTATTTTATCTGTACTAAGCACTAAATCAGACAGAAAGTTTGAGAATTCACTTAAAAACTCTGAATAAGGAGCAGGTGGACGGTATACAATAACAAACAGAA